CCTGTTCCCAGGTCTTTGTCAAGCTTAAAAAAGACCTGGGTACCGGTCAAAATGTTGCGTATCCATTAAAGCTGCTTTAACATATCACTATACTCTCTTAATGTCTTTAACCCTTTTAGGACACATGACGTGTAACATGTCATGATTCCCTTTTATTCCAGAAGTTTGGTCCTTAAGGGGTTAAAGCTATTTCACATATTGAAAATTTACTGAAAATCTAGCAACATCTAGTTGTCTCTCATTTGGAACAAGCATGTTTGATTAGGACTATAATTATTCCAAAATGGCCAGTGCCCTAGGCCTCAATCAACTTTTCCCATCATTAAACTCATTGTTTTTGTCATTTGTTTCATGGTTATATGGCCACAATAAATATTTGGAAAGGGTTACTGAAGTACCCAAAAAATAAAAAAATAAAACAGCTCCTATTGTGCTAGTGACATCTCCCTCTGCAGCTCCAAGCAGGGTAACAACTGACAAAAAGAGAAAGAAAGAATGAGGGCAGTGCTATCAATTGCAAATGTTCACACCAAGGGCTACATACAACTTTATTAGAAGTACAAAATACATATGTTTTGGCTTCTCCCCTTTCTCAATGCATGTGCTTACAAAACTAATGTGCACTCACCATTAAATAGACAGTGTACAAACAGACCATAATACTCAGCACCTCCATTCCTCAATCTATTGAAGAACAGCCACTCCTGGCTAGCCCCCACCATCTTGAACACTGTCGTGCGTGATGATGTAATGCTCATGTCACGTGACGATTGGTCTGTGTGCCAGAGGATAGTCATAAACACATGCTCAGAGCATACCTCTTAGTTTAAGACAAGCACAGTAGCCCAAGCACAGTAGCCCCTCAGGGCCAAGAAGGAGCAAACATCAACACAACATATATACAGCAGAAATATTACAAGTGTAAGATAACTGCTATAAGCACAATAAACAAACAAAAAAAAACAATCATCAATACAGTCATAAAAAAGGCTACACCATGTACCATAAGCTATAAAATGAATATATAAAAAGAGGATTATCTGTCTATACAAAATAATTGACAAGGGGCTACATATAGAGACCAAACAGACAGACAAAGCATAGAATCAACACCACATGTGAAAACATACGCTCCACTACCTTACACACGGATCAAGCTAAGTGTTAGGATGTACAAAATATATACATATATCTACAAGGTCCTATCACCCATCCATCTGGGGTGGACTTAAGGATCCTACTCCAAAGGAAAAACATATAGAGCAGGAACCCAGAAAAAACTCGATTAGATATAAAAATATTTGTATATAATATAGAGATGATGCGTTGGATGGATATAAGGCTATCCTTGCTATAAGATAAGATCAGGGACTAATGAAAGTATTTAGAAAATTGGGCAGACTAGGTGGGTTGCATGGTTCTTATCTGCTGTCACATTCTATATTTATATGTAAGAGATCCTAGAGGGGGCGGAGCCAGGCCATAAATGGAAGCAGACATGTGAATCCTGACCTCCCTCTCCCCTGACCACTTAATCCGCATCCATCATCGACTAACACAGAGTATCCGACCTCAAAACCCACCTCATAAATCCCTGCAATGGGAAGCAATAAAAAAACGAAGAGAACTTCCACCATCAGTGGCCATGGTTTTAGAATCAAAAATGTTCCTACTATTGGCAGAAATAATAAGTGGATTGGGATATTAAATAAATGTTCCTTAGACCTGATTCTGGTGGTGATTGAGGAGGTTGGGAGAGAGTTAAAAATAGCTAAACATAAAATCAGTGAATATGAAGTGAAACATACAGTGATGATGGCATTACCGAATTGTGATATCTTAATACAGAAATTATCTGAAGACCTTAAAGCTTACAAAAAAGATTTGGTTAGATTTAAACGCCAGAAGCTGGATAAAGTTAACTCCGATTATGCTGACCATCGTGTATACAGATGGTTATCTGGAGATCAACCCAGATTTTACCAACGACTTTATCGCCCAAGAATTAGGAAACCTATAGCTTCTACTGTGGACTGTACATCTGGAGAATCTGCATCGGATGCAGAAGTAAGCAGTCAATCCCAAGATGTAGTCACTTCAAGGAGCAGAATGACTAACAACGACAATTTATCTTTTTTAGACCCAGGTTTGGGACTCATGAGAGAACCAGTTCAAACAAATATTAATTACAAAGATATAGGAACAACAGGTCCTATTTCACCCGGAGTAGATATACAAGGAGAGGCCAGAAGGGGAAGACGCACCGGAGTAAGAGGGAGACCACCTCACCGATGAATATTTGTCCTATTATTAATTTATCTAAAAGGATATTGAACACTTCTGAAAAATCTATACTCTCCAAGGGTTTGTCATTTATCCCTACATCTAACATTGATCAGTTTGACTGGGAAATAGATCAATTTAAGTTTAATAGGAAATTACGCCTTGCTGATCACTTTAAATCTGCAAGCAACCTTAAAAGCAGTGAGGATCTGGTTAAATTGAACAGTGTATATGACCCACCCAATATTAATGCTTCCTTGAAGGTATTTGCTCAAAATCTTAGAATAGATTATATTAAAACAATTAAGGAGAAAAAGAGAGGAGCAAATATTTCTAAACAAGAACGAGAGTCTATTCAGAAATTGTCTCAAGATACGTCTTTAGTCATTCGACAAGCGGACAAGGGTGGCTCTATAGTTTTGATGGACTATTCAGAATACAGAAGTGAAATTTTAAGACAATTAGGAGAGACTAGTTAAAACAGGAAAGTATCAGCGCTGTTTGAGTATGGTATCTTAAGATTTCTATATAATCCAAGCAGCTGCTAACCACCGTGAGAATCTCTTAAACAAAAGTGATAGAAAGTAGTAGGTAATAACGGTGTAGCGCTTATGTGCAGAATTGAATAAAGAAGTTTACCCAATTTTTCTTCTATGTTAATCAGTTATTCTTTGTTAACCTTAAGGTAAAAATGGAAAAAATACATAACATAGTGCAGATTGTATGTAAATAGGTGGAAATAATTATAAAGTAAGGGCCAAGTGGCAACTCACAATTTTCTGAGCTATAAATCTAGCTCAGATTTAGGTGCTTTAGGATCCGTATAGGCGACCCTCTCCCTTCTTCTCCTTTCTTTGATCCAGTCAAACCCAGAGCCAGTCTATAGGCTCACTTCAGTGCGCATATGTGGTTTAAGGACCACACTCCTTCTTTCAATTAGCAGGAAAAAGCCATAAGTGTACTAAAAAATATATCTCATTTATTGACTATAAAATTGTAACACATATAAAAATATATATATATATGGAAAAAATAAATAAATAAATAAAACACTTATATGGCTGAAATAAAGTCCAATAAAGTCCAAAATGAAGTCTTTCAGTGCTCACTTCGCTTTCCAGAACGCGTTTCGCCAGGTGGCTTCTTCAGCTGGTTAAATTCTGTGATGTTCTCTTGGACCTCTTCTCCTGCTTTAAATACCTTTCTTCGTTTGTAGAAACAGCTGTCAATGCTTGGATTTTCGCGGGTATTCTCCATGGTAATGGAGATACCCTGCGTTCCAAGCCTCATTCTGATTTCTGTTTCCTCTTTCTCGGCCGATACGTCACTTCCGGTTTCGGCAGTTTTCGTAGCCATGCGTTCCACAGTGCGTTCCACTGTGGTTATTGCACTCCGGTCTGTTTTCTCTCCATTGTAGGTGTTGAAAGTAAATTTAAAGGACATGTAAACAGTTGTTATACTTCTAAATTGGTACATTCTGTTCACATTCCATTCATATTGTACGGACAATTTGTTATTCTCCTTATACAAAGAATTATTTGTGGATAATACTTGGCTTTATATATCTTTTGTAATTACCAATGTGGTTTTACATTAGACATCAGTAAGACAATACAATGATCATTGCAGAGGAATAAAACTTCAAGGGTGAGAGCTAAAAAGTATCTATTATTGTAGTGAATTGTAATTTAAAAAGTAAAAAATAGAAGAAAAGTTACCCTGGTTGAAATTGATATAAAATCAATATAAAAGACATTTAACAGACTGGGGTTGATTAAAACCAATTATTATATAGAATATGGGATATATATCTATCTAAAAGACGTTTTATTTCTATTTTTAGTATAGAATCTTAATTCAATGTACAATAGATTAGAACTTTATTTAAACCTTTGTTTTTTTAAAAACCCTTATTTTAAAGTTTAGAGGAGGAAATGGCACATTTCGAAGTCTGCATTTAGACCATTTGGAATCAGACTATTTAGTTTGAATATCCATTCCATTTCTATCTTGCTTAATTTTTGATTGAAATCTCCTCCCCTCCAATCTTTAGTTACTTTCTTAATTCCTAAAAATATAGTTCCTTTTAATTCGCAGTCATGGTGGTTTTTATAAAAGATTGGAGGGGAGGAGATTTCAATCAAAAATTAAGCAAGATAGAAATGGAATGGATATTCAAACTAAATAGTCTGATTCCAAATGGTCTAAATGCAGACTTCGAAATGTGCCATTTCCTCCTCTAAACTTTAAAATAAGGGTTTTTAAAAAAACAAAGGTTTAAATAAAGTTCTAATCTATTGTACATTGAATTAAGATTCTATACTAAAAATAGAAATAAAACGTCTTTTAGATAGATATATATCCCATATTCTATATAATAATTGGTTTTAATCATCCCCAGTCTGTTAAATGTCTTTTATATTGATTTTATATCAATTTCAACCAGGGTAACTTTTCTTCTATTTTTTACTTTTTAAATTACAATTCACTACAATAATAGATACTTTTTAGCTCTCACCCTTGAAGTTTTATTCCTCTGCAATGATCATTGTATTGTCTTACTGATGTCTAATACCACATTGGTAATTACAAAAGATATATAAAGCCAAGTATTATCCACAAATAATTCTTTGTATAAGGAGAATAACAAATTGTCCGTACAATATGAATGGAATGTGAACAGAATGTACCAATTTAGAAGTATAACAACTGTTTACATGTCCTTTAAATTTACTTTCAACACCTACAATGGAGAGAAAACAGACCGGAGTGCAATAACCACAGTGGAACGCACTGTGGAACGCATGGCTACGAAAACTGCCGAAACCGGAAGTGACGTATCGGCCGAGAAAGAGGAAACAGAAATCAGAATGAGGCTTGGAACGCAGGGTATCTCCGTTACCATGGAGAATACCCGCGAAAATCCAAGCATTGACAGCTGTTTCTACAAACGAAGAAAGGTATTTAAAGCAGGAGAAGAGGTCCAAGAGAACATCACAGAATTTAACCAGCTGAAGAAGCCACCTGGCGAAACGCGTTCTGGAAAGCGAAGTGAGCACTGAAAGACTTCATTTTGGACTTTATTGGACTTTATTTCAGCCATATAAGTGTTTTATTTATTTACTTATTTTTTCCATATATATATATATATTTTTATATGTGTTACAATTTTATAGTCAATAAATGAGATATATTTTTTAGTACACTTATGGCTTTTTCCTGCTAATTGAAAGAAGGAGTGTGGTCCTTAAACCACATATGCGCACTGAAGTGAGCCTATAGACTGGCTCTGGGTTTGACTGGATCAAAGAAAGGAGAAGAAGGGAGAGGGTCGCCTATACGGATCCTAAAGCACCTAAATCTGAGCTAGATTTATAGCTCAGAAAATTGTGAGTTGCCACTTGGCCCTTACTTTATAATTATTTCCACCTATTTACATACAATCTGCACTATGTTATGTATTTTTTCCATTTTTACCTTAAGGTTAACATAGAATAACTGATTAACATAGAAGAAAAATTGGGTAAACTTCTTTATTCAATTCTGCACATAAGCGCTACACCGTTATTACCTACTACTTTCTAGGAGAGACTAGTGTCTACCAAGCGTCTAACACTGATCCGGGCAAGGAATATAGTAAAAGAATTTTTAAATTATTGAAACATGGAGTTGAACATGAATACATTACTCAGAATGAATTTGACTATCTATATGAATTACATCCTCGATGCCCTGTATTATACACCCTCCCTAAAGTGCACAAAGACTCTGTCCATCCACCAGGCCGTCCGATAGTATCGGCGATCGGCGGTCTGTTGGAACCAATAGGGAGATGGTTGGACAAATTGTTCAAAGGACCTGTGATGTCATTGGATACATGCATCAAAGATAGTAACGAAGTGATTGAAATTTTGAAGGGATTAGCTATTCCATCAAATGGAGTACTTCTGGTAACCATTGATGTTTGCAGTTTATATACCTCAATCCCCCATCAGGAAGGCTTGGAAGCAATAGGAGAAGTATTAAGTGAAGTGGCATCTATTGAAAGACCCCCAATTGATTATATTTTGGATTTTCTACAAGCATGCCTGACTTTAAATTACTTCAGATTTGAATCTACATATTATACACAACTAACTGGAACTTCTATGGGAGCGCCAATGGCTCCTATGTATGCCAATTCCTTCATGTACATTTATGAGAAGCGTCACATTCTTGAGAAATATGCAACAAAAATTTTACAGTTCATGAGATTTATTGATGATATTTTATTGCTATGGACTGGCACTATAGATGAGTTTGAATTAATGATGCAAGAATTAAACCACTTACCATCTTAGATCCGTTTCACTTGGCAGACCAGTGTCTCAAAGATCAATTTACTTGATCTCCAGATTTGAATACATAATAATGAATTTGGATACACGTTATATTCTAAGGAAACAGACCGCAATACATTACTTCATGCTTCAAGTTTTCATCCGGATAGATTGAAAAAATCTCTTCTGATTTCACAGTTCATCAGAGTGTTACGCAATAACTCTAACCCAGATGTTGCAGAAAATCAACTTCAGGAGATGCACCAGAAGTTTAAAGCTCGGGGTTACTCAGAACAGACTTTGGATACAGCATATGTTAAGGCTTTGCAATCAATTTCAGAGCAAAGGATTCATCTCAACATGGGGGATCGACTTGTTTTCCCTCAATCTTTTCATCCTAATTCTGATAAATTACGTCTAAATATCTTGGACAATTGGAGAACCTTTACCTACAGTGTTCCAGAAGCCACCTATTATAAGCTACAGGAAAGGGAAAAGCCCGAAGGACTTATTGGTACACACTGATCAGTGGACTTTTGTACAATCTTCTAAGATAGCCTCCAATGTTGGATGTTTCCGTTGCTTAAACTGCCTAGCATGTAACTTCATGACACCAGGAAAGACATTTAATCATCCGAGATCTGGAAAAGTGTATAAAATTACATACCATATTACATGTCAAACTACCCACGTAATATACAGAATAATATGCCCATGTGGGCTAATATACGTGCGTAAAACGTCTAATGATCTGAGGGAGAGAATGCGTGGACATCGTTCGACTATCCGCACAGCACTCAGCAGTGGAATAGCGACGACTCCTGTGTCACGACATTTCCTTGAGGCAAGTCACAATTTGGCAGTTCTACACTTTATTGGTATAGATCATGTACCCATCTCCCAGAGAGGAGGGGATAGAGATTTGGCTTTACTTAAACGTGAAGCATATTGGATCCATACTTTAGGAGCATTATCACCCAATGGGTTAAGTGAGAAAAATGCTCTATATTGTTTTTTGAATAGAAGATAATTAAGTAACATATGAAGTATGTAGGATATTATGACATTGTGTTCTTATTATGAGAATTTTTGTAACTAATGTTGCATTACTTAAATATACATTGTTAAGAGATTGTGTGGTATAAATGGGATACACTGACTGTCTTTATATACATATTCTGCCGGTAGGCATTAGGAAAGTGTAAGACTCAGTAATCAAGATTTGTTGTTTGTTAATAGGATTATAGGATAATAATATTGATTTTGTTTCTATATACATATTTTGCTAATAGACATTTGGACATTGCAAGACATAAAAATCAGGACTTGTTGCTAGTTAACAGGACTATTGGATATAGTGAATATTTTTTAAGTTTACTTATTATTATTAATATCATTAGTTTTTATTTTGTAAATAGCCTTCTGTGTATTTAATTAGCACTAAGTCACTTTTTCAAACCTTAATTGAGTCAAGAATCACCTGGTTAATATTCTGTTTAAATACGTCAATTATGACGTCACCTGTCCTTGCTTTCAATCTTTCACCCTCCAATAGGAATTTTGTTGTAACATATATAATCATGGTTTATTCATTGCATGAATTGTCTTGAGAAAAGTCTATTGTGACTGAAACGTCGACATTTTTGTATTCTGCACAATAAAGCAGTATTTATTTTGATATAAAACGAAGACTCCAGAGTGCTCTCTACTTGGATGACTTGGATCACAATACAGTTAGAAAGAAATAACACACATCTATATATTTTTTAATTCTTTTTTTTAATTCTTTTTTAATTAAATTTTTTAACGTATTTACATATTTAATTTTTTATATATACATATTTAATAATTATATATATATATTTAATCAATATCAGTCTACGTGTAATTTGATATTAATATATATATATATATGTCAGGATTACTGTTTGATCCAGCACGTAGAACTGTACAGCACGGATGACAAATAAGTAACGTATTACCGGTCCTTAGAATGGCCGGATTTAACGTACAAAGAATAGTCAAAAATACTAGCGAGGTCAGGGAACACAGAAAGGGACACAGCGATGAGGAAAGCCAGGAGTCAGGATACCAGAATATAGAGAAGTCAATAAACAAAGCCAAAGTCAAAAACCAGGTAGAAAACTATAAACAGGAACGCGCTCTCAGACAACCACAAGGGAAACCACGACGGGGCACTGAGCAGGCTGAGAACTGGGCCTAAATACCCCTCCTTTAGTTCTGATAGGCTGTAACCGGCCTTTGACCCCAAAGTCAGTTACCAGGTTTCATTTGCATAATTGCTGCCCAGCATTAACCCTTCTGTGGATTAGGTTGCTGCTCGGCACAACTTTTCCTGTGTGGACAGTAAATGTCATTAACCACTTTTCTATAAGCGGATGAATACATGACACCAGGCTTCATTTGCACAATTACTGCTCAGCATTAAACCTTCTGTGGATTAGGTTGCTGCTCGGCACAACTTTTCCTGTGTGGACAGTAAATGTCATTAACCACATTTCTATAAGCGGATGAATACGTGACAATATATATATATATATATATATATATATATATACATATATACAAAAATACAAAGGGCCCTTGCACTCCAACTTATAAAAAACAGTACCTGGTGCTCTGGTGGCTCAGATGTAGATAAAGAAAGGATACCGGCACTCAAGGAATTTCAAAGATTTACTTCTTAATGTGCATCTGAAATCGACATTGTCATTGTCTATGTCCTGATGAAAGCTCCCTAGAGGAGCTGAAACGTCGATTTCAGATGCACATTAAGAAGTAAATCTTTGAAATTCCTTGAGTGCCGGTATATAATTATAATTATATATATATTAATAGTAAAATACACCTAGACAGTGTATGTGTGTGTATGTATATGTGTATATATATATATATACTTAGATCATATATATAATATATATATATATATATATATATGATCTAAGTATATATATATATTTTTTTTACACTTTTTAACTTTTATTTAATTTTATTTCCAGCCAGCAGGGGGACTACTTGTCATTACAGGCAGCCCCCCTGCTGGCAATACAGAAGGCAGCTATCCCGGCCATGTGATTGTGAGGTCCTCGCAAGGACCACACTCTCACATGGCTGGGGGGGCTGCCAGGAGGAAGATCTGCCGCGGGGGGTTCCCTTGGAGTCCCCCCTGCCTTCTTCACCTCCCTAATTTATCCCTCCATCTCTTGAACTGATCTACATCTAAATAAGGAATCAAGAATTTTCCGACTTACGAAGTTATATCTGACTCAGGCAGCAGGTAGAATGAGATATAACTGTTCTATCAATAGGGATCAGTTCACAATATAGACACATAGGGCATCCAGTAGTCCAGTTTTTTTTAATATAAAGTAAAGAGAAACCTTTATACATTACCAAGAGTCTAGGATGAAGGAATTCAATTTGGGATTCTCCTCTCTGGGTGCTCTGGTCTGTAACTCAGTCTATTGCCTTTAGTCAGTCAATCTCCTTTGATCTTTTTTAAGATAATCTGAAGATATTGAATTTCTTTCTTCTCTTATTTTTCTCCCTATTTAACCATTATTTCCCCCTTATCAGTTCCTGCCCCTTGTTTGTAAATGGGCGGTACCTGGCACTTAAATCTGGCTTTTGATTGGTTATGGGCGTATCTTAATATTTAATTATTAATGTGGCCCTTAGGGACTTTAATCAATAGATGGCACTATTTCCCTTGGTATGAAGACCTGAATTAGATCATTGATGACCTGGTTAAATAAATGAATTGATCTTTAATTCACCTATACTAGGGATATTTCAAATTATGTTAAATATCTGTCTTTGGTTATGTATATTCTTTAATTGAAACAGGGTTGGTTATATTAATCATCATGCAATATGTCTATATCCTGTATCCATCTAACCTGTATGAATAACTGATTGATACATTCACCTTTACAAAGAAAAACAGAATCTGAATATATTAGTATATCTATATTACCTTTTACCTCCTAAGTCAGTCAAGGATGCGGTTTTAGACATTACTGTAGCAATCACACGTTTAGTTTACATTTGTATATCATGCATGATTCCAATAGATTCAGTTAAGTTCTAATTGTAACGGACCGTTTTGCACACAAGGGGTAAAAACCGTTTAGGCGATCGGCCCCCTTTCCAGAGATCCAGGCACAGCTACTGCAGAACACCAAAACTCACGAACTGGATACAAAATGGCACTCCAACTCCCGAACTGGAACCTCCCAAATAGCTGCTAGCAGACGAACAGGAAAAGCAGACAACAGCTTACACTCCTGGCAATCAGTCTCTAACAGCATACAGTGAATCCCCCAAGAACGAGACAAGGCTCCGTGTTGAGGGTCAAGCAGTGGTCTGAGGTGCTGGCACACCCAGCCTGGTTTTTATTACAGTCTTGTAAATACAGGACCGCCCACAGGGAGGTATAAAACAACCAATCACATCACAGTTACATCCCCACATATTCCCTCCTTATCCTGAGAGGAAACTCACTATTATACATACAGTTAAAACATACTTTCTACCCAACTTTCATATGCAACTCTAAAACCATACATCACATTCACATAAAAATTACATATTCACAATCAATCCACCTAGGGGAACAAATATATTAAAAATGGTACCTAATCAGACCAGGGGTTCGTGTTAAGGGAGTCCTTTTAGACTAAATGAAGCATGGCTTCTTCCCGCCCAAACCAGTTTCAGTCTTTCTATCCTGGAGATAAGTAATCCACTATCTCCCAGGACAGACACAAGACTCCATTACGGTTGCAAAAGACACAAACACTTTTAAAATACATAAAGTCAAGCATTTATTAAGCATAAAACACAGACATGTAAATATATCCCCTAGAGCCAGGTCTGAGCGCCATTACTATTAAGTGAATGGCGCCAGACCACACGGTATCACAGTTTAATCAGCCATGGAGCCAAAGTCTTTACAGTCAGTTTCATATGAATGGGCTCCATGGGATTCCTATCTGGGGTATAACACATTCAACCAAAACTACCAACCCCCAGGCAGAAAAGCACGAATGAAGCTTTTCTGCAGGTAAAAAAGATGTCTTTTAACAGGGGACCATAGTCCAAAGGCAGCAGGCGAGCAACCAGGCTTCTCCAATGCAATGTGGCGAGATTGGTCTCGTCACATCTCTCCCTTTTTCCAAACAGACTAACAGGGTATCTGACCTCCTGCCGGTCAGTGCCCTTGTTAGTCCAGCAGCCCACCCACAATAATCAACAGCACAGCCCACCCACAATAAATGGTTACTACACCTGGGTAAAGGAGAAGCTTGTCCATGTCCAGGTGCCTCACCACGGCTGGGCTGGGTACGGGTATGCTGACTTGGTGGGTTGCTGCGTGGGCAGAGACCAGCGGCACTCTGCCCTGTTGCCAGCGCTACTGGGAGGATAGCCTGGTTGAAGCCTGGTTGTTGGAGGGGGAGACCGACTGTCTCCCCTTTAAATACACCGCTCTGCTGCTGCTGCTG